CTGAAAGGACGTTCGGATGAGTCATTTCGGCAACAGATGAAGAAGGTGCACCTCTCCCTTGCAAAGGCTTTCAGATGTTTTTAAAGAACGCTGATTTGTTAGATCCCAGAACAATGTGAAGAAAGGTTCCTTTATACATATAAATATATACATCAGTTGGGTCAGCAGATTCACAAGGTCATGAAAAATGTGAATGAAGAAGACCTTTAGCCTATTCATTCTTCCAGAACCCCACCATCAACAACAACAACAACAAAATTATATTTTTAAAGCCCTTTCATGTCGGGAGGACATCCCAAGGCAATTCCAACATTCCAATGGATTACCAGGTGTGGTGTCTGTAGCAATATGTAGCATGTGTCTTAAATGAGTCCAGTGTCCTGGCCTCAACCACCACTCCTGATAATCCATTGGAATGTTGGAATCGAGTCAAATCTCTGTGGTGGTCTCAGTCGTCCGGTTGCTGAGCCCGTCAGATTCACAGTACTCCAGGGCACTGCTGCTCAAAGGGCATCCAGTCTGGCTCATTGATGAAGTAGACTAGGGGCAGGGATTCTTTCCACTCATCTCCCATTAAACCCAAAAGCTCAAACCCTAATGGGTTGGGTGGTCTTAGCTGGAATGCTAGTGGGAAAGCTTGACAGATAGAGCTGTCAATGGCAAGCTATGCAGTTTTAACTGGTTAAACTCCAGCAGTAAACTCAACTCATTAAGGGTCACCAAGCCTTACCTCTTGCCAACATATGCCTACTACACTCTGGAATTAGGTAAAACAGGATGCATCCCTCCAGGGAGAGAGTGCAATTTAATTCCAAACACAGGTAATAGGTAATAAATGGTTGGCTTCTGCCGCATGTGACTACCATTTCCCTCCCAAATTTAAACCCTGTGGAAAATCTGATGATAGGTCTTCCTGTTGCACAGCAATAGACTGTGTTTAGAATGTTCAGATCATTCCTAATACCTTATTGCTGCTCACAGAATTGGCCTCTACAATGGATCAAGTGCTGCTGATGAAAGGCCTCATGACTGACTTGGAGACAAAAAGGAGTTGTGTATTACTTATGAAGACACTTTCTACTAAAATATGGATGAGTTTTCTATATTCCGGTGCAGTGCAAATGCAGATTTTAGTAGAGCAGAGCTTCTGCAGATAAATTTGAGTTTTATTTGTATGCGGTATACATTGTGTTCTATCTTTACTCTAATGGGAGATTACATTAAAAATCATAATATATTTTTAAAGTCTGAGATTTTGTGAGACATTTGAGGTTTCAATCTCAGGTATTATATGATGAATTTTGAAGTTTTATTCTCTTGCCCAGTTGGAGGGAATTTATTTTGGTGAACATGCTTTGATGTGCACCTGGAAATAATCATTCGATTCACTCTTTCAGCTCAGTAGGCATTTTTCAATTTTGCCTGTGGCACTTTACGAAGTTTGTTGACTTTATATATGCTTTCTTGTTGCTAACATTGTAACGTTTGTTCTTTTTAGCTTTGGCAGACTTTTGGCCTTCCAAAAGATATATTTGAAGTGACAACTGTATTTTTCAAGCGGGGCAGCTCGAGGGGCTGAATGGCCTACTCCTGCTCCTATTTCTTATATAAACAAGATTAGCTTGAAGATATATATAGCTGTCTTTGTCTCTTTTTAAACTTTATTTTCCCCATTTACCACTAGTACATACAATATCATACCACTATCTCAGGGACTGATTTGTAATGTATTGTTTAATACAATGTCCTAATAAGGAATCCCATTAGAACTCTGTCACCCTTTGCAAGTGCACTCCACAAGTAGCTTGTATTAGAGAGCAATTCCCATGGGTTGATAAGATAACTTTCGGAAGGAGTTGTATTTGTGTGACACAGATCGTTTATTAAGGAATCCCATTAACAGTAAGAGAAATTGAATAATAATAATAATCCTTGCATTTGGTATAGAGACTTTCATGTCAGAAGGACCGTCTCAAAGTACTTCACAGGATTGACTGTGAAGTGGGGTGACTGTGTATTTGTGGCCGAATACAGCAACCAATTTTGTTCACAGCAATGTTCTACAAACAGCCACGCAGTGAATGACAGATTTTTATTTAGGTGATTGTTGACTAGGACAGTGGAAGAGAGAAACTCCCTTCTCTTTTTGAACAAATTTTTTTTTTGAATTTGATCCTATATTAGCATACATACCATAATGGGAGTGGGGGGGAATAAACATAAGATAGCCAGTATCAGATCTAAAAGGGAGTTTAAGAGCATGGACATTGCTGCCGCAAGCTGGGCTTAAAGCAGAAGGCATCAATGTTTTTGTGAGAGAAAAACAACTTGATGCAACCATGAGGAAAAAAGAGTACAGAGAATATAGGGGAGTGGTTTAGGAGGAGAGAAGGTTTAAACACTGGCATGGACTGTTGAGCCAAATGGTTTGATTCTATCTGTAACACGTTATATAATGAAATACCTTTGTGGATTTGAATAATTATTAATTTTAAATTGTCTGTCTTAATATATTACATGAAGTAAGGAAAGTCTGAAAAACTTTTTTATATCCGGCTTCTGCTTATACTATATGTCTGGATCGGACAAATATTTCTGTTGTAAATTTATCACCTTAAACAGATTTTTTTTCTCAGCAATACACTTTTTAGTTTCTTTGCTTGTATTAATATGCTCATGTTGATGATTATGTACAGCAAATTCATTCAGATATTTACTTGATAATGTCACATAAACATGTGTGACACAAAATGTACATATAAAGTGGGGGTGGCTTCGTTTGATAAGGGAAAGAGAATGGACTGACATGAAATAAATAAAAATGCGTGGGTAAAATGTGTAGGACAGTCACAAATATAAAATAAATTGACATGCTTGTGTATTATTTTATTGTTTATCTTTTAGTTATATTATAGAGTAAAAAGGCTGATCAAAATTGCAACAAAATTGTAATCTATGTAATAAATAGACATTATTAACATCACTTTACTGTTAGCATAATAATCTGTCTGGTTATATACAGTAATTTGTTAGATGTTTAAATACCTGTAATCCTGTAGTTTAGTGGTTAGAGTACTCCCTCACAAGTGAGAGGATCTGGATTCGATTCTAAGTAAGGGCAAAATGTTGGGCAAGTTTCCTCACTCCCCACACCTCTGTTTACCTAGCAATAAATAGCAACCTGGTTGTTAGTCGATTGGTGGATCGTTTTTCCGGGGGTAATAATCCCTTCAAAAAATAATAATAATTTGGTCACTTCATCCATGACTGTTTGTGGGACACTGCTGTGTGCAATTGGCTGCCACATTTTGCCCACAAAATATACATTCAATTAGTTTACAGTATATTCTGTGAAGTCCTTTGAGACATCTAGAAGACGTAATAAGACGCTATATCAAATGCAAGGATTATTATTATAAACATTAAATCCAACTTTGCAGAAGAAAGCAGAAAATATGCTTGTATTATTTTCTATATTTGTGCAAATGAAGACAATTTCATGAACCATCTATGTTAAGTTGGTCTGTCAATTGGGTGTATTAAGTCAGAATTGGTATTTGAAATTCTCTGAATGAGATTTACTGTTAAGAATCATTGTTGAAAGTAAATAAAATAGCAACATGAATATAACTATAGTTCTGACATGCTGTTGGGCAGGAATTTTCATTGCAGTCCTTGTAGTAGAAAGAAATTGTGTTTTGGCTGTTTTAGCATTCATAAGCTTTTCCCTTCCTACCTTCACTACACTGACATAACACCTTTGAAAACAGTGCAGTAGAGAATGACACTCAACTGTTTAATGAAATCAGATTATTTCTTATAATTGCAAGAGGGAACCATTAGAGCCTTATTAATTTCCATCTGTTCTTTGGCAGAAATCTGTATTATAACCTAGTTTTGCTTGAACCCTCTGCTGCTCTGGTTAGAGATCTGCATTTTATTTCAGTTTTGACTATTCATTATGAAAGATTGATAGTGTTACTGAAGAGGTAAATACTTGCTGCATGCTATTTGCACAAATTAAAGTTGTAAATTAATTAAAGGATTTCTACTCTAGGTTTAATCTCCAGAACAATGCCAAGTTCAGTGGGCTCACTTGTATGCAATTTGCACTTTGTCTGTCAATGTTTTCCCATCCAGAATAAAATGTGAAGATGCCTCCACCAAATGATAACTAATCGTAGAATTATAGAATCATAGAATTATGCAGCGCATAAGGAGGCCATTTGGCCCATCGTGTCTGTGCTGGGTCTTTGAAAAGAGCTATCCAAATCAATCCCATTCCCCCACTCTCTCCCTATAGCCCTGCAAATTTGACCTACCCAAATAATTATCTGCTTCTCTCTTAAAAGTTGTTGTCAAATCGGCTTCCACCACCCTTTCAGGCAATGCATTCCAGATCCGAACAACTCGCTGTGTAAAAAAATGTCTCCTCACCTCTCCTCTGTTTCTTTCAACAACTATTTTAAATCGGTGTCCTCAGGTTACCGACCCACCCGCCAGTGGAAGTAGTTTCTCCTTGTTCATCCTATTGAATCCCCTCATAATTTTGAAAACTTCTATTAAGTCTCCTCTTAACCTTCTCTGCTTGAAGGAGAATAATCCTGGCTTCTCTAGCCTCTCCTCATAACTGAAGTCACTCATTCCTGGTACCATCCTAGGAAATCACCTTTGCACCCTCTCCAGTGCCTTAACATCCATCCTAAAGTGTGGCGCCCAGAACTGAACACAGTACTCTAGCTGAGGCCTAATCAGTGTTTTATAAAAGTTCATTATAACTTGCTGACTTTTGTATTCCATGCCCCTATTTATGAAGCCTAGTATCCCATATGCTTTTTTTTTTAACAGTTTTATCTACCTGTTGTGCCACCTTCAAAGATTTACTTATATGAACCCCCAGGTCTCTGTGTTCCTTCACCCCTTTTAAAACTATCCCATCTAGCTTATATTGCCACCATCTTGCTTATATTGATCTTTTCTATGATCTTCACTGTTTGTAGGTCTGTAGCTGAAGCGACGGAGGTTGATTTGAACATGCGTGTGGGTCTCCATACAGGGAGGGTGCTCTGTGGGGTGCTTGGTCTTCGCAAGTGGCAGTATGACGTTTGGTCCAATGATGTGACCCTGGCAAATGTAATGGAAGCTGGTGGACTGCCTGGGTAAGTGAACCTTTCATTCAAACATATACACACACTACAAATAGCTTTTAAGATTTGATAACAATTGTAGCACTACTCTTAACAGAATGGCTATGTTTCAATGTTACCTTTTCATGTTTTGTTTTGTTTGATGAATAAAACCTGTGAATTCTTCTGTGGAGTGTAGTCTTAAGAGTTTATGAAGTCACTCAAGTATTAGCTTCATTAGTGCAGAAATAAATCCAATTCACTGAAATGAATATAAAAATCAACACAGTAGAAAACAATTTAAAGACAGTACCTGTGCCTCACTTCCTGACCAACAATTCTCAGATGAATTGATCATTCGCTTGACGGCTATTTGTAGGACAATGTTGCATGCAAATTAGCTTGGCACATTTACCTTCAAAATGCATACTCACTGCAATATACAGTAAATCTTGTTAAGTGCTTTAAGACATCCTCCTGATACAAAAGGCACTATATCAAATGCAAGGATTATAATAATATAATAATAATAATCCTTGCATTTGATATCGCGCTCTTCACATCTTCTAAATGTCCTAAAGCGCTTCACAGAATATACTGTAAAGTGAATTGACTGTATATTTTGTGGGAGAAACATGGCTGCCAATTACTCACAACAGTTTCCCACAAACAGTCATGCATTGAATGACCAAGTTATTATTGTTTTTTCTTTCTTGAAGGATTATTATCAGGCATGTGGAGTTAGGAAACTTGCCCATGGTTTCGCCCTGCCGGGAATCAAAACCAGGTCTCTCGCTTGAGAGGCAAGTGCTCTAACCACTGAGCTACAGTACTCCACATATGTTTAATAGAGGCTGGTTTTAATTTGCATATTAATTACATTATGGCTGGTGATAATTATTGCTACAATTTACAATAATGGCAAAATTCATGTTATTCCCAGGCCAGAAATGACTTCTGATGCTCTCCCATAACATTATCCGAGCCAGGAAAGCACAAATCTCACCACTTTCTAAAGATCCAACTAAGTAAATTCAGAACAAACCTTTTAAAGCCCAAAACAAATAAACATTCTCTGAGGCCCAAAAAAGGAAAATCCAACATGGCAACAGATCAAATTTAAGAACTGGATCAATTGGTGGTGGGGAGGGATAGAGTAATTGAGGAGAGAAGCCACATTGTGTGCAGTCAGTGTGCTACTGGAGATTCAGTGTGAGGTTGAGATTGTTAGCTAATAAAATCCTTGCATTTGATAAAGTGCCTTATCACCTCGTTGAAAGAACGTCTCAATGCATTACACAAGATTTGCTGTAAAGTGTAGTGACTATATATTTTGTATGCAAAAGTGACAGCCAATTTGCATACAGCAGTATCCCACTAACAGCCATGAAGCAAATGACTAACTTCATTTAGAGGATTGTTGGCCAGGACACTGGGCGAAACTCCAAAAGTTTACACTAAACATCGCTAATTGCAGTGATAATCAACTTGCATATTATTTTCACTCGTGTTAATTTGAAGAATATGTAAAGAATACTGCATACATTACACTAACTTGGTCACATTATAGATTTGACCAGATCAATGTTTGATGTGAAAATAGTGTCAAAATAGGAAGTGAGTGCTGTATGATCACAATATAAATTTACATCTATATAGTGCCATTCATGTCATCCCAAATACTGGCTTGGCACCCTGAGGGTGGGAGCTGAGGAGGGGTGGGGAGCAAACATGGAACTGAATGTGTGGTCAAAGAGGTGGGTCTTTAACAGGCCTTTGAACAAATTGAAAGAGGGAGTAATCTTTTAGACAGCTATCACACACACACGCACACTCATAGACATACAGATTATGACTGGCTAACAAAACTCTGAGGGTCAATTCCTTTCATTGTTTTGAAGGGGGGAAATATTTCTGTCCCTAATAGACAGCACAAATATAATTGAGTTTTGTGTTGGACAAAAAATAAAATAAACAAGGTCTTTGTTCGACAGACAATAGTCAACAAACTATTGACAATTCACAGGAGAGGTTCAGATAAAGAATGTCATTCTTTGATCGCATACATCCAAAATACTCATTTTACCATCTTTTCATAACAGCATTAAGTTTTTTTCCAAAATTAATCCATGTCTTGTCCCTCAGCACCATTCCTGGTAACCTATCCACTTTGTGAAGATCTGCTGACGTGCCATCAAGTTCTAGCTGGATTACTGTGCTTTGAGTTTATCTTCTCATTGCAAAAGAATGACATTTAATTTCCTCGTGGTCTCTTCAAGTGAGACAACCAATTTTGTACCAGTTACTACAGATTTAAATGTTTTATTTTACATCATTAGGAACTGGGTTGACTCTACCAAATCATTTGATATAAAACCCTTGTAGTCAGCAGAAAGAGACTTTAATTCCATCTGCCTGGCTGGATTCGAATCTCAGTCACAAAGATTAAGGGTTAGTGTATTAACCCTACAGTGTTTTGCCCAATCCCTAGGACTTTCGTTTCTTTGTTAGCCACCGCCTTGTGTATTGGACTTTTTTTCCTGCCTAAAAATATAACTTGAACTGCTGCTGGTGGAAACTAATCCCCAAAAAGGATTTAGTGTGGAAAAATTGAGAGATTAAAAATGGAAATGATGATAGATTGGATCAATCAAGAGTCATGCACTAGTCTTATTTACGAATTAGTTCCTTTGTTTTGTTTTCCACTCACCAGGCCTGGAGAGCAGCTGTTTTATATAACTGGACTTCTCAGTCTCATAAGAAATACAGAATTTATTTTAGGACTGCTTTCACTGGAATTAAGAAAGTTAGAATGCCATACAATTTACATTTATATGCTGTGCCACGTTTTACATTGAAAGGATGATTCAAAGTGCTTGGCTGTGTTGGATAACCACACATCTGGGTCATGGTGGGTTGGGAGCCGAGGGGTTAGGGAGGGGAAAGATGACTGAAAGCGCAGTTAACCAGGATGTCGTAACGTGGGTCTCGAATGAGGGGAAGGAGCGAGCGAATCAGAAGGATTCTGTGATAGAATTCCAGAGAGTGGGGCAGAATGTCTGAAAGTCTGGCTGCCAATGATGGGACAAATGGAACGGGGGACATGCAGCAGAGTAATGTTTGCTGAGTGAAGGGAGTTTCTGGGTTGGCAGTGTTGAAAGAGGTCACAGAGGTAGTGTGGGACAAGACCATTATGGGATTTCAAGGTGAGAATGAGGATCTTGAATTTGATCTGCTGGGTGACAGGGAAACAATGTTGACGAGCAAGGATGGTGTGAGCGGCTCATGGAGCTGGGTACAGGAGAGAACCTGGGCTGCAGAGTTTTGGATAGTTTGGAGCCCATGTAGAGAAGTGCTGTGCAGTCCAGTGTGAAGGACAATAGTGTCGTCAAGCCTGGAAATAATGAAAGTGACCTGGGGAGAGAGGTAGAGTGGGAGGTGGGCAATGTTACAGTTAAGAAACAATCTATCAGAGCTCTTCAAAGTTTTGAAAGGTAATAGGATAGAGAGTTAAAGATTATTCCTGCTGACTGGTGATTTGTTAATGAGGAAGCATAAACCCAGTCAAAGTTAGGGGGAGGTTAGCTAGACTGTTTTCACGTGGAAAGCTGATACAATATATAGAAGGAATTAGTTAAAGAGGAGGAAAATATAAAAGGATGGAGGAAACAAGAAAGAATTGGATTAGAACCCTTAGCTCCATGGAGGGCATTGGCAATAACATAGGATCGATGGGCTGAATGTTCTCCTTCAGTGGTACTGAGGTAAAGTTCTTAGTCATCTGCAAATTACGATAACATATGTTCTCCCTAGCAAGTGGTGGCATTTCCCTCCAGGCAAAAGGATGGATACTTCCTTTTAAGGTCTCAGTGCTCGCCATTTTTTAAAATCTGTGGCAGGCAATTTTTCTTTTGTAAATTTTGTAAATCCTAAATTGGACTTAGNTTTTTTTTTGCTGAATGCCCATGTTTTGGTGTTGATCTGCCAAAGAGGGGTGGACGTCGTGCTCTCTATGGTCAAATATGAACATTTCATAGTTGGCCAGGCTAGCCCTGGGGTCTCCAGGCTGTGAACAAGCCCACTTACTGTTTGCATTTAAATATAATGTTAAGTAACCAGTCACAAGTTGCAATTGTTACTCCAGCTTTCTTCAGGATTTTTAAAATATATTTTGATGATTCAAGGGAAATAATAATAGAATTCCAGTATTTCTTAATGCCTTTACTGCTATTGTTGAGTAGTTGGGAAAGGCTGGGAGCAGGGAATCTTCCCACTCAGCTCCTGTTAACTATGCAAGCCATAGGGTGGCTTAGGTTTGTCCTAGCTGGACAAACACCAAAAGCTTGCCAGATAGTGCTCTCAATGGAAAGCTATGTGATTTGAGTTGGTTAAACTCCAGCAATCCACTCTGGGGACCTTGGCTCTTGCCAACCAGTGTCCAATACTCTCCTGAAATAGGTAAACTGCAAAATCCATTCCAGACACAAGGTTAATGATTGCTCTGGGACACTATCCTGCATGTGGGGTGCTATATAAATACAAGCTGTTGTTGTTGATGTTTCTTTGTGTAGGTGGGCATGTATTTGTTGAATTTTCAGTTTGGCTTGGGTACTCTTATCATGGGTTTCCACATGTGTCAGACACCTGGTTGACCCCCAAAAAAGGGAAAAACTTAAGATCTGTACTGATGATAGATTCTATATTTCTAATTACCTGAGATTAATCATTAAAGTAATTCACATTCCTTGGCAGAGATACAGCACTTGTTCAGGTTCACAATTATTTCAGCAATTGCCTGCAGTATTATTTTTCTTTGATGTCTTTACTTTCATTGCTTTCAGGAAGGTTCATATAACAAAGACCACGTTGGAGTGCCTGAATGGGGATTATGAAGTTGAGCCAGGGCTCGGACATGAGAGAAACAGTTTCTTAAAAAAGCACAGCATTGAAACCTTTTTCATTGTGCCGTCTCATCGAAGGAAGGTAAGCATTGGTTAATCTTCACAAAATATAATGTAACACTGAGATCTTGTAGTTTTAGTGAAGTTAGGCAAAAAAGTAATTAGCACACAATATTTTTGTTTTCATCTGACGTAAATTTAAATAATGTCCTCTTGACTTGCTAAATTTGCAGTATAGACATGTGAAGCAAATCTGCTTAAAGTAGCTGGCTGTTTGAAAGTGTTACTGTCAAAGGTTATGAGGAAAGAGCAGAGCAATGGGATTAGAGCAAATAGATCCAGAGGGAATGCTATCACCACAGATATGATGGACGAAATACCTCCTTTTATCAAAGAAACATTTATAGGCTTGAAATTCTATCTAGTTTCAATCCCCCAAACCATTGTATCCTAAAATATATGACGGGGCAGAATTGTGAAATATTCTTAAATTCAGTCATAGTTTGAAAGTGTTTTTGCCATCTTAAAAGCAGCTGCTTCAAAATTAAGATTGAATTTAAGAACTGCCGACATTTCTGTAATATCTTCAATGTTTAAACAAACGGTATTACAGGCCTTATACTAGGTCGAATTTTGAGCCAACTAAGCAATCAAAGTGTAGTATTCCTAAATGATTTCTGTTCCTTACTTATCACTACAACAGTTAAGGTGTAGATAGAAATTATGATTACATGGAGTTATATTGAGTGCTATGGTATACAAACAAGTAATTCAGCACAATTAGTCCATGTCAGTGGTTTTTCCTCCACATGATCCCCCACTCCTCCGATTCCCTTCACCTTTCCCCCATTATTCCCTATTCTATTGAACACATCCCTTCCTCAGCCTGACTTTAATGACAGCTGTGGGACTGAACACTCCTGACTCAGTCTGGTACAATTATGAATTTCATGATCTTTGCCAGGTACTTGTCTTAAAAATTCTTGTGTCCAGGATTCAAAATCCAGTCCCTCACTTAAAAATCAAAACAAAGATCACAGCTGTCTCCATTCAGAGAAGCCTGAGGGAAATTGGTATGTAGGTTGGTAGGGGGTGTTGGTTAATCCTAACCCATTTATTAAAGACAGGTTCCAATTGAAAAAGTGCTTCTTAGTGATCCTGTTGATAATTAAGGAACAAAACATGCTTAAGAATGCCATAATTTTTACCTCTTTGATTTTATGTTAATTTTACAGCACGCTTTTGTATTAAAATCTGCACGAAATCTCATTACTTTAACTTTCTGTAATAACATTACGCCTATTTCTTTGAAAAGTATTATAATAAGGAGCTCTTGAGCGTCCTTGGGTTAGAGAGATTATAATACTGTTTTCCTCAAATGCAGCCCTCAAAGAAGTGTTTTAAGTGATCTGAATTTTTGTTCTGATTTCCACATGTGAAGAAACATTACTAATTTGCAATGTTTTCATGAGGTGTTTCATCCTGTAATTGTGAGAAGATTGAACATCTTATTGAACTTGCAATTAAACTTGTTAATTGGGCACCCAGTTGACGCCAAAGTGTGCCATTGATCACTGAGAAGAATGTATTGATATTGAGGTCTGATTTCAAATACTGTATTTGTAAAACAAACTCAAATGGACAAATTGTGGCATCAGGTTTGAAATATTAAACAGCTGTGAATCCCAAAAGTCGACTAAGTGGGGGAAAAATTAAGAGAAGACAATTTTAACTAAAAAAGCAACAATATCCTGACATATTTCAAGGACCACATATATATTTAATTTTAGATCAAAGTAAGCTACATTGGCAACTTTATATTTCCCTGAAAGAGACTCTATTCCAATTTCCTAATTCAGAAATCTTGTTAAGAAATACCATAACATTGATCCTCACTGTGTGAAATTCCAAGCACTTGCTTTCAAAAGGTCATTGCTTCATTTGAATGGGCTCAGAGAATAACAACAACAATGATTCCATGACTTCAGCTTCTAAGGTTGAAGGGCTTCCTTTTATCATTACAGTGTCCTTTTTATTCTTTGCAAATAGACTTCAAAAATTGTATAACGGTCAGTAGAATTTACTGGTTAATCTGCATTGGGGTGAGAGAGAGAGGTACGTTTAAATGATTATTATTGGAAACCTATGCTGATTATAAGAGTGGGAAATTGAATACTTTTCCACTTCTAACACTTGGTGTCAGAAATAGAAATTTCCAGGACAAGTATAATCTGCACTTTCACTTCAACATTAGAGTTCCAGTGAGTGTTGACCTTTCTCCTATGGATTTGTGCCTACAGGGAAGTGGTTTGAGATTGCTCAAACTCTTCATTTATAGATCCTTTCGACTCATCAAATAAGTCTGAGGTCGGAAAAAGTCAGGTCCCAGAGGCAAAAAGGTTATATTCTATCCCCCTTCACTGCACAGTCCTTGTAGAATGTTACTTGAACAATGTAGTACTATATGTATCTGTTACAAAAATATCTGAGCTGTAAGTGTGATTGATTTTTCATTCTCCCTCCCTCTCTTTCTTGTATTGACAGATATTTCCCGGGTTGATTCTCTCAGACATAAAACCTGCAAAAAGAATGAAATTCAAAACCGTGTGTTACTTGCTTGTTCAACTCATGCACTGTCGCAAGATGTTCAAAGCCGAGATCCCGTTTTCCAATGTCATGACATGCGAAGATGATGACAAGGTAAGCCACACATCTAGGCAATTTATTGGCCACTCTGTCTGTCATGCCCCTGGTGGGCTTTTATGTCAAATGATTGTCAACTGTCAAAAAATATTTAGTGTGGCAGACAAGTGCTATTTTCTTCTACTTGTGCTTATTATAGGTGTCAGCCTGGCTCAGTTAGTAGCACTCTCACTTCTGAGTCAGAGGTTGTGGGTTCAAGACTAGAGTTGTGACTATGAACTCATATAGTCTAGGCTGAAAATACAATACAGCGCTGGGGGTATGCTGCATTGTTAGAACTATCATCCTTCAGATGAGACGTTAAGCTGGTACCATCTGCCTGTTCAGGTGAACATATTTTCCATGGCATTACTTGGAACGAGAAGGGCGTTAGGTCATTTACTTCATGGCTGTCTGTGGGTAATTGCTATACGTAGATTGTCTGCAGTGTTTGCCTATAGAATACATAGTGACTACACTTTACCTATACAAAATATACAGTCATTATACTTTTTCAATATATCCTGTGAAGCTCCCTACGTGGTAGGTATTATTATTATTATTTATTTAAAAGGCATTGCATACTTGTGATCCAGAACTTCTGAGCAGGTGCAGTACTGCTTGAAGGTCTGTTACTGCTGCTCTTCCCACTCAGTCCAGCTGCCATGAAGTGGGTGCAGCTTTGCCTTTTGTCCTTTGGCTGCCCACATGTGGATATTTATTAACTATACTCAAAGAAAGTTTATTCTGGAACATTCAGTTTGTTTTACTGTGTTAAAATATATGTGTTTTTGAGGACAGTAAATTGAGTGAATAGGTTAACAATTCAATGAGTGACTAAAATGTATTTATTGAATAAATTATACCAATGTTGGAATTTGTTAAGTGTATATTTTTGGGTGATGTTTTCAACAATCATTTGGTGTCACTTCCTACATGTGGCACAAGCACGTCATGCGCAAGCAATGCTGCCTGATGATCAGGAACACAAGCCGTCTCTTCCTCCCCTCTTTCAAGGTGCACATCAAAACATACCCCTTTGACCGTATCTTCCCCTCCTCACTCCCGTCAGCTCCAACTCATAGCTCCAGTGCCTAGACAGAATTGTCAGGCACTCTGGGTTGTCCTCCCAATGTAAAAGGTACTATGTTCCTTAATGAAGTAAATACTTCTACCACCAATGTTTTCATTACCCCCATTTCTGCTAACATTGTAACACTCCCTAACAGTTTACATTCATAACGTGGGTTTATGTTGGAGGCCATCTCAAAGGACATCACACTGTTGACTCGGAGGCTGAGCTAGTACCATCAGTCCTGTAGCTCAGTGGTGAGAGCATTCGCTTTGCAAGCGAGAGACCTGAGTTCAATTCCTGGCAGGCTGAAATCTTGGGCAAGTTTCTTTATTCCACACGCCTGATAATAATCCCTCAAAAAAAACAATAATAAATTGGTCACTTCAATCCACGACTGTTTGTGGGACACTGCTCTGCGCAATTGGCTGCCGCATTTCGCCCACAAATATACAGTCAATTCACTTTACATTCTATTCTGTGAAGCGGTTTGAGACATCTAGAAGACGTGAAAAGCACTATATCAAATGCAAGGATTATTATTACTATATGAGTGTAAATTATATTATATAGTGGGAAAAATCATTAAAATCGATCAAAAAGTATTTCCCACAGATTACAGAACATTGCAAATTGACAAATAGCATTGTTTATCGATATTTATTGATTTCCACCAACCCCAGTTAAAATGCAATGAAACGAACGCACAATTTTGTTTTTCAGAGAACAACGGGGAATATTTTTCTGCTTGTAAACATGTTTGCAAGTGTTTAGCACTAACTGTCAGATTGCTGTTTTTGAATTGAAACTATTTTTTGTTGTTATCACGACTATGTTGCATTTTGTGCTGTGAACAGACGTTAAGCCTTACCACCCAAGTAGTAAATTGCTTATTAAAGCAATGATTAAGGGGGTGGTATTGACTAAAATAAGCCTCATAATGATTTTACACTTTTTAATGTTAAACATGAGTACAATTAAGGCACAAATCAAGTTTTCTCAGTAAGAGAAAAGCTGTTTCAAATCTATCAGATACATTATGTTACATTCCACTGCTGAAATGAAGAAAAATCCCCGAGACATAGATGTTATCATTGTCACTTGACCTGTTGCTGTAGTAAATCTGTGCCTCTGGACAGACCATAGCATTAATCCTGCATTTATAGTACTCTGCCTAACCTAATGCAGTAAAGCAGTGAGCCACATATAAAACTGTTGTGATCAATAGAATGATTGTAAATTATCGTCAAACACTATGATACAACCATAAGGCTTGTATAGTTCATAAGCCATATACAATCTTTACAAGGTTGTTGCAAGGAGTACATCACGTAGCATTCTAAAAGGATCATGAAAGCATTGGATGAATGATCACTAGACTTTGTGTAGTATAAGGCAAGTTGTCTTAAAGAGCATCTGGAGGAAGAAGGTACACAGACAATTTGAACACTGCAGAGACTGAGAATGCAGACATCACAGGGTTCCTTGCATGATGTATGGTTTTGAACTTGTAACTAGTTTCTGCCACCAGCCTAGAAAAAGAACCTGAATGCAGAGTGATGATTTTATAATAATAATAATCCTTGCATTTGATATAGCGCTTTTCACGACTTCTAGATATCTCACAGAATAGACCGTAAAGTGAAATGACTGTATATTTGTTGGCGAAACGCGGCAGCCAATTGCGCACAGCAGTGTCCCACAAACAGTCGTGGATTAAAAATGACCAATTTATTATTGTTTTGTTTTGGAGGGATTATTATTAGGTGTGTGGAGTAAGGAAACTTGCCCAAGGTTTCGCCCTGTCTGCAATTGTACCCAGGTGTTTCGCTTGTAAACAGACCTAATGCTGTGACTAAACATGGAAATGCACTCTAATGTACCTCTACACAGACAATTAGGTTTATTATTTGACAAATCAATAATAAGGGTAAGTACAAGTAATTCTATCCAGTAAATATTCTTCTTCTTGTTGTATTCTACAGAGTAAAAAGAAAAATACTCCATTATCTTCACCACTATCTTTCTGTACAAACTTTTAATACTACTTAAAGTAAAACATTGGAGCTTTCAATATACAGATCCTCTGTAGGATCCAACTGGAATGGTACAAGGTATCAGTCACCCTGAGGCTGCGTAAACAGTCTCTAGGGACTGCTTGCCTGATGATTTAAATGAGGTCTGACTGGTATATCACTTATCTTGAGGTGGAAGAATAGTGTAGTCAACCAATTGACAAGAAAGTTAAATGCATTGCTTACTGGGTCCAATTGCCTTAAATACAGTGATATAAATATTCGTTGATTTGTAATTTAACATAGACATAAAACATAATTTTGGATTTGTGCTCAAGCAGCACACTGTGTTTTAGGGTACTGTTGTTGAGAGAAGGGAAATTAATGGGAAACACCTTACCTCTGTGTTTGATGTGTCACTCCATATTTCACACGTGCATCAAAGGCTCATGACAACTATTATTGAGATGACCCAGTGGAGGATCTTTCAAACACTTTCTGAATTTTCTCCTCCCAGCCATGATCTGTTCCTTGGATATTGGATGAGGGATTCTACAATGATTCTTCCTCTGATCCTTCACTTCTTTTCTTTCCAAAAGGGATGATTGTGTTTTCTTCCAAAGAATCCAAACTAACTGGGGAAGCAAATAATCCCTCTGTGTAGATGTGAAAATATCACTTTGAACCAGGAAGCACCTGAAGAATTGTTTTTAAAAAAACAACTTCACATGAACTTGAATGCTATTTGCTTACAAAACATGTTAGAATGCGGATAAATGTAAATGACGATTCTCTCATTATATAATATAATATTGTTGATTGTGTTTTTTGCAAATATATTTATACTGCATAAATGTAATTTTTAAACAATGAATTAATAGAAAAAAAGAAAGTAAATCATTTTCATCTTGCTTTATAAATTGAAATATGTTTTACTATAATTATTATCAAATATATTTTTTATGTAGGCAAAAATAATATAATGTACAACATGAAAGAAAAAACTTACTTTAATAGTAGGTGGATTTGGTAGATGGGTTGTTATTATTCATTAGACGGAAATACTTCAACACACAATATGATGTCTCCAAACTTGGCTTTTGCAATTTTGTACCTAATACCTTCCAGTATTAGATAAGCAGAATGAGTGCTTCCAAGGAGGTAGTATCCATTCCATTCAAACCAGAGAAATGGGAATATGGCCATTCTACTTTTTGATCATGGGAATACATTTTCAATTCAGTATAATCATGTGCCCTTGACATTCTTATGAAATCAGTTGCTTGTGGGACATTGTTTTGCACAAATTGGATGCTGTGTTTGCCCATAAATACACAGTCATTAGTGTTAAGTGTGTTAACTGTGTATTTATAGCCAAAACTCTAAAGTACTCTGAGAAGCCTTGATGGCGTAATAAGGTTCTATTTCAAATGTGAACATTATTACCAGTATTAAACCATTTTCCGTAGTCATCGGCAGCCCTTTTGGTTTTCCAGTAGTTATTTTTGAAGATATGTTTAGTCAAAGCATTCTGCTGAAGTCAACATATTCTAAACAACTGGAATTTTGATTTGCCTCTTTCCTTTCACAAGATCATTAGGATATTATTCCCTGACCATGCCGTGTGCTGACATGAGAAATTCTTTGATATTTCATTTCAGAATATAACTCATTAAAAATGGTTAAGTACTTCATATTTACTTGTTGATCCATTTAATTCGAAAATTATTTCTAATAGTTATGTCTAATACTCTTTTGGACAGCTTACCTTATATAATGACAGTGTTAAATAATGTTAAAAACCATGTCATAATGTGCGTCAGCTTGGCTCAGTTGGTAGCACTCTCACCTCTTGAGTCAGAAGGATGTAGATTCAAACATTGGGACCTGTCACCATACAATCTATGTTGACACTCCAATGCAATGCTGTGAGTGTGCTGCATTGTCTGAGATGTCCGTCCTTCGGATGAAATATTAAACCGTTTGCTTTTTGAGATGAACAGGATCCCATGATACTGTTTGAAAAGAAAAAGGGAATTTATCCTGTTGTTCTGGCCAACAATCCCACATACTCCATGTCTGTTTGTGAAACATTGCTGGGTGCAAATTGGCAGCCAAATTCACCCACAAATAATAATAATCATAATAATAATAATCCTTGCATTTGATATAGCGCTTTTCACGTCAGGAGGACGTCCCAAAGCGTTTCACAGAACACACTGTAAAGTGAATTGACTGTATATTTGTGGGCGAACGTGGCAGCCAATTGCGCACAGCAATGTCCCACAAACAGTCGTAGATTGAAAATGACCAATTTATTATTGCTTTTGGTTTTGAAGGGATTATTATTAGGCGTGTGGAGTAAGGAAACTTGCCCAAGGTTTCGCCCTCTGTCTGGAATTGAACCCAGGTCTCTTGCTTGCAAAGCGAGTGCTCTAACCACTGAGCTACAGGACTGACCTGACTGAGCTGACCTCAAAGTCTCTGATCACCTCTGATGTCATTGCCTGTGTGCTGCACATATTCAGTAGATATTGCCCATTTTATTGTGTGAGTTGGCTGGTATGTGGGAAGTGAGAGGGCCCGATGTGCTCATGCCCAGTGAATGGGATTAACACCTCAACTGCGTTATAACCATATCAATGCTACAATGGGTTTTCACGCAAATTAAAAAATTGACTATATTAGAATGCAGTGATATAGTGGTATAGCACCCTGTCACTAATTTAAAATCATTTTCCCTTTTTATTACAAAGAGAAGAGCACTGAGGACAGCATCTGAGAAGCTCAGGAACCGAACATCCTTTCCAACAAATGTCATTCACAGCACTGCAGGAACTCGGGTAAACCGATACATCAGTCGATTGATTGAAGCTCGACAAACCGAGTCTGAAATGGCAGATTTACATTTTGTTACCTTAACGTACAAACAGAGTGAAAGAGAGCAGAAAGTAAGTTACTGAACACATAATTAAAATGTGCTTTTCAAATATAAAGTAAGGTGGTGTGCATCAAGCCTAAATTGACATTAAGTCAAAAGTCTGAATTTTTTCACTTCAATTCCATTTGAAATGCATGTGTTTTTATTCTAAATTTGTCTTATTTTCAATACAAATTACCATAGGAATAGATGAAATCATAGCCAATACTCTTTGTTTCAACTCTGGAACTGAGGTTTAAGTCTGGTTGTGTCAGCCTGGCTCAGTTGGTAGCAATCATGCCTTTGAGTCTTAAGGTTGTAGGTTCAAGTCCCAGGTTGGGATTTTGAACTTGTCTAGTCCAGCAGTGCAGTGCTGGATGTGTGCTTTGTTGTTGTGAAGTGATTGAGATGTGAAAGATACTATTTAAAATTAAGGATTTTCTTATTATTAAAAATTGAAGGTCTAATGAATTTGGATTGCCTGGCCTTTGTGGTAAACTTATATTGCTATATAAAACATTCATGTGTAGTTCTAAAGGCTTCAGAAAGACATATTGTGAGTGTAAGAAAGCTGTTTATAATTCACCACTGATTTCTCAGTCTTTATCTGAGTGGTCACAAGGATAGCCATTGTAAGAAAGAAAATTGTAGAACAAATAGAATAAAGATGTTCTGAGTCTGAAATATGCTGGCAGGAGGAAAGCAAGGAGAGCTTTAATAATAATAATAATAATATTCCTTGCATTTGATATAGCTCCTTATCATGTCTTTTAGACATCTCAAAGCACTTCACAGAATATGTTTTGTGGGCGAAAAGCGATAGCCAATTGCGCACAGCAGTGTCGCACAAACAGTTGTGGATTAAACTTTTTTTTGATAATAACAACAACTTGCAGTTATTCTGCATGGCGGGTTTGAATCCTGAAAAGGGGAGAAGGGGGAGGGGAAGGTGACCATAGGCGCAGGCAAAGAGGTAGGCCTAATGGTGGGATTTAAAGGAAGTTAAAGAGGAATTGCGGCAGGGAGATCCAGAGGTAAAGGGTGTAGTAGCTGAAGGCACCACCACTAATGGTGACATTCAAAGGTCGGAGACACACACCAGGCCTATGCTGACATAGGTACTCCACAAGCTTGATATTATTTCACTGGCCCCAGTATTCATAATTTTTATATAATTGTTGGTTGTTTTGTTGACAAATAAAATTGACATGTGGCATTTGATAGGCTAACCCATTTTCACATAGTTATTGTTTTATGTATTACTTGATCTTGTGAAAAGATTTGTGAACAGATCTTGCCAAATCTTGATATGAAATGTCGTGGCATGAAACCAGAACCTTAAGGTGTGATTTCTGGTATCCGCTATGGTACTGAAAAGATTATTTGCTGTTTCTGTTTGTGAATAATGAAAGCTGTCTAATTTGTGATGTTCACAAAACAGTTATATGTGGTTTCAGAAAGGTCCTAAAATTCCTTGCATTAAATTCCTACCATGGTCTTGCCCCATCCTAGCTCTGCAACATCCTACAACCTTACCAACTTGGTCCCTAACCTTTGTGGAGTAAATACTGGCCTGCTTCATGTCATCCACCCCACCATCAGTAGATAAGCTTTCAGTCATTCTGTGCCTGTTTTTTGTAGCTCCATCCCACAGTCTCTGTGACTTGTCCCTCCCCAATCTCAAAGTTGTTCCCAACTATGAAGCTGTAAGACATCGTGCTGATGTGAAAGACATTGCATAAATGTAACTTGATTACAAAATCAAGTAAATTGAAAGATGTTGTTGGTCTATTTTGCTCTCTAGTCTCTACTTTTTGCTGGCTTTCAGAAATTGCATTTAACCCTTTTGCATTATGATAAATAGATGAATATTTCAATACTCACCAAGGAGGTCTAGAGTTGCATTTCTTATCGTATGGAGAATATAGCAAAGTGGATCTCATTAAGCCTATCACATAAACAAACATGTCAGTCACTTGGGTGGTCATTTTTCTTTCCAAGATTTATTGCCACAGTTTAGGGTTTCTCACAAATTGTCAACTTGTTTCCAGTTTGGACAGTGGGATAGCGATCAAGCCAAACCACATCATTCGGTAAAGTAGTCATTAACCGAATGAAATTAGTTGACAAGCTAGTGTACAGCAAATTTGTTGGTGCTGAAGGATTTGAATTAAGCTAGTTTATTATATTGATTCTGGATTTGAAGAAGCTGCTTTTAACTGCTGCTGAAATAAAGACCAAAACAAATTAATTAATGTGTTTGCTTTCAAGTGGATAGTAATTAAAGGGGAAGTAGTGGAAACTCAACATGGCCAGGATAGCTCCCTGATTTAAAAATATGAGAGAATACATTTTTTCCCAATCGGATTAACAGAATTCAAACACATATTAGACTGTATGTGAAACTATTAACCCCATATGATCTTGGACAGTGAAATCTGCAAAAGGAATGGTTGCAATCACAGCAGCAAGGGAACTATCCTTCTTGGGAGGGGGGAGGGGGAGGTAAGCAGGGTCTCCTTGGTGGCCTAAGGTGATATGCTTGGCAATGGAAAGTCAGAATTGAATGAATGTCAATAGTCCGAGGAAGACTTGGAGGGGCAGATTGGCCATTGGGAGCATGGATTCTATCCATTCATCTCCCTTTAATCCTGCAAGTCAGTGCCTTACTTGCCCTAAACAAGCAGTGGGAAGCTCGCCAGACAGTGTTCTCAACGGTAACTATGCAGGTATAACCAATTAAAATTGAGCAATACCCCACCATATACTCTGAGATCCCCAGGCCTTTTCCAAACCTGTATCTAACACTTTCCAGAATTGGATAAGCAGGATGCATTCCTCTAAGAAGAGAGGGCACAATTCATTTTAGGCACAGGCTAATATCCATGTGTAGGTGGCACAAATGTGAAACTCTTAGTCGTTAGATATTCTAAAGCATTGTGATATGTTTCTGCATGTGATAGACACCCAGCTGATCAAAACAAAAACTGCACTGACTCCAGTTGGAGCAGAAAATTCCCATCAAAATAACACTACCACATTAAGAGTTACTGCTCTAAAATGTAAAATTAAAAAAAACTCTCTGTAATTTATACACTTATCTATTGTTCACCTCTAACTGGAATGCTCCTATCTAATCTGTAGCAATGCAATATCACTGAAATATAATCTTCTTTTGCTGCGATTCCACGTCTCAGGACAGGAATTGACAATGTTTGATCAAAGACCAAAAGTCCCTTTATGTCATTTGCCACATTTGCCCACAAAATACACAGTCAAACTACTTTACAGTATATCCTGTGAAGCGCTTTGAGATGTCTCAATGACTTTATAAGGCACTATAGCAAATGCAAGGATTGTTATTATTATTATTTGAGGTGACTGTGAGATTTTGTGTCTTCCATTATGCTACAATTTGTTTTCAAATTGCTGCCTTGTTCTTTACACCAATACAGTACAATTTATGTAGTCCCTTTCACATTAGATGTCTGAAAGCACTTATCACTTGACAGAAAGGAATGTTTCCAAACAATTATAATCTGGATAAGGATGGCTTTCACTAGAAAGTAATTTTTTTTCCCTGCCACTTTTCTCCACTTTGCTTTCCCCATCTAAAGATGTTAAACTCACGTTCCCTCCACTGCATATAGTTGAATGAGCACCATGCACCTGTGTGTACTTATCATCTGACAATGAGTCTGTTATCACTGAGGGCAATACAACTGACCCTAAACTTATCCTCTTTCAACATCCAAGCAGCCCAACCTCTGTTACCCTGGCTGAATCAGCCCACTTAGCACAGACCAAGATTTTAACCTGCAATCTCCTAGTTTTATATCCCAAAGATACATCGTGGAGTCCTGTAGCTCAATGGTCAGAGCACTCGCTTTGCAAGCAAGAGACCTGAGTTCAATTCCAGGCAGGGCGAAACCTTGGGCAAGTTTCCTTACTCCACACACCTAATAATAATCCCTCCAAAACCAAAAACAATAATAAATTAGTCATTTTCAATCTACGACTGTTTGTGGGACATTACTGTGCGCAATTGGCTGCCGCGTTCGCCCACAAATATACAGTCAATTCTCTTTACAGTGTGTTCTGTGAAGCGCTTTGGGACGTGAAAAGCGCTGTATCAAATGCAAGGATTAATTAATTAAAAAAATTAGTACCTTTCTTCACTAAGCTGGGTGCGGCTATGAAAAAGAGAACTTTACTGAAAATCACTCTTTTTGTATATTACCAGTCCCTTCGCTCAGCAAACTCTGGCCTGCTTCATGTCCCTCACCCTATCTGCCCACCATCAGCTGGCAGGGTTTAGCCGTTCTACACCCGTTACCTGGAATTCCACCTTGGAGTGCCTCTGACTCATTCCCTCCCTACCCTTCAAGGCACATCTCAAAACGTACCTTTTTAACTTACAGCACTTAGTCATCTTTCCCCTCCCCACCCCCTTTTCTCCCACTCCCAATGTGTGTGTTTGCCCAGCTTTGTCAAGTGCTTCGAGACATTTTCCTGATGTGAAAGGCGCAAAGAAGATATATAAATTGTTCCGTATCAGGAGGCATAACACAGTGAATCCAGAGACAAGAACAAGGGCAGCTGCATGTCATCTTCTGAATCTGTTATATAACTAGATTGGCATCAGTGCATCATAGGCAGTAATCTAATCGAGGGATTCAGATGATGTCCTAGATGAACAGAAGCTGCCTGTTTGTTAGTCCATTTGCGAAAATGGATTATCAACAACTATCATATTAATTACATTGTGCGGGAATTAGTCAACTCTTGTTTTAAAACTGATCCACTGTTCTCAATGTCAATAGCTTTAATGTTGACAGTTCATTCTACTTAATGAGGCTGATGTTGGAGCCGACCTGAAGTCCATGTTATATTTGATAGTGAGTCATATAAAACACAATATTTTTGCTGCATATAATGGAAGAACATATACATATATATTTGTTACTATGCACCCTGCATTATAAAATTATGCACAAATTCTAATTGTGGATCGATCCTTTAGTGAAGTTAAATCTTGCACTCTCTGAATACCACACAGCAAACAACAGTGTTATGATTCTACTTCACATTAAACGTTACTTTCTCTCCTCTATCCACAGTACCATCAGCTTCACGATGAATATTTCACCAGTTCAGTCATTCTTTCACTTATACTCGCTGCCTTATTTGGCCTTGTGTACCTTCTCATAATACAACAGTAAGTGGCTTATATACTCTAATTAGAACTGTTTGCAGCCTATTCTTTATTCTGATCCCTTTTTATTTATAAACCAATGTATCTCATTCTGTTTCTCTTTACTAGGAGTACAGTAGTTCTTGTCCTCCTGGTATTCTGCATTTGTTTCCTGGTTTCTTGTATAATGTATCTACACGTTACTCGAGTACAGGTAAAGCATCTTTTTAATATATTTTTTGTCCATATTGTTGATTTCACTGGATAACAAAACCAATTGTTTGGTATGTTTGGTATGAATTGCAGAATAAAATACAATTGTACTTTGTCCACCTTGAAAGAGTTTAAAGGATTTAAAATGAGCTCATAGAGTTCTTCTGAATCTTACCTGGAAAAACAAGACAGTTGATACCTTTAAAAATATAATATTTGTACACTGGATTTATTGTGTTGTTGTGACCTTTGGTTGGTGAAATTTGGATTTGCATATTTATGAATTGGGATTGACAATTGGCAAAATCTGATAGAAGACCAGCGAGCAGAAGGGCAGTCTGTTTCCCATTTGGGATTTGAGAATCTTCCCGCAGATTTTCCAATCCAATATTTGCTAACCTGGAAGCCATAATCAATTCAATAAGTCTGGGAGACAAATACCACAATCTAGGTCCTCAGTAAAAAAGGTTGTGTGTTGTTGGATTTAAATATAGCTTTCAAATGTTTAATTAGTTTGCTTGAGACATGTCAAAGACCTGATAAGGTCCTCTATCAAATACAAGGATTATTATTATTAATGTTGGAAATGGAACACTTCTTTTATGTCACGCAATATCTACGCCAAGCATTCATGGTCAGGTATACCACGAGTAAAGCTTGTACTATTCTGCCCAGTAGTATACCCAAACACTGGCCTCCAAATAGAATCCCCCACTACAGCTGTGGGAGATCAGCCATCTCTATGGTCTCCTTTCCATAAGTGCCAATTAATACTGAATTATGGACTATTTTGTGCTGTTTATCCATACTCACTAGGAGCTGGATTGAGACCACCAATCTCATTTCATGCAGGTTCCTTACAGAGAAGACAGCAGATATTTTCATTCCTTCAGTCTGGACTGGATTCAAACCCAAGTCTCAGAGATGAAAGGACAGCATTGCTCATGCACTGCATCACCCAGTCCTTGGCTCCACCATGATTTTAGACTTAACCTATGAGGTTTTGAAATCTCAAAGATCATTTCTTTGACCAATGAAGGGAAACATCTGAAGTTGGAGAATCTCACAACACTGGAAAAGATTAGAAATATAAAGGTAATACAATTTTTATCATAAAAAGGCCCCCTTCATGGTTCAGTTGTAAAGTACCACTCACTAGTATAAAAACTGAGCCCTTTAGACCAGGAAGGTCCCAGGTTAGAGCCTTAGTTTGTGCTAAGTTTTCTGGGCAGCAAGGATGCTACAGTTGGCCTCAGTGCTTCTTGGGATTTCTGGAAAGTGACCAGTGCCGTGTAGGACTCAACCTAACATGAATCATTGTTTGGGGGGAAAATATGGCATGAAAACCGTGATAATCTGAAACACACTCAAATCCTCAATTATCCATTGTGCTAGTTGTGATTAAAACATGTCTTTACAATTTATCCTAAATGACGGGTTTGGGACTGAACAATGCCCCTCATCCCTGATTTCTGAGAAATGGTTCCAACTTCCAAACAATTTCCATTGGTTCATGTAACAAAAGGCCCAAGGAATGCATTCTGCCAACTGGAGGAGATCTAACTTTTCATTTTTTTAAACTCTGTATCTGGTGAAGAGATGTGAAATTGCTGCTCCCATTTGGTAGGATAAAAAAAAAGTGAAGACTTTTTATCCTGCCCCTGAGAATGGCGATTTTGGTCTTATTGGTTAGAAAGCAGCTTAAAAGATATTTTTTTGTAAAGGTTAAAACTAAAATTCAAACCATCTCAAATGGAAGAAGTTGACTGAAATAACCAATACATTCTATTTCAAATTAAAAATTCTCAAGGTATGTTGTAGTCTGTTCCAGGCGCAAGGAGTGACTTTCAGACACCTTCGCTATATATAGGATTCCACTGTTGGAAAAAGCAGAGGAAGAAACCATTGTTCAGAAGCTTGGGGCAAGAGGTTGTTCAGTCCCAAGTACATCATCAAGCATAGATTTTAATGACACATTTTGATTTCATTTTCTATTCATGCAGTGAAGTGTTCCGTAATTATCCCCGACTTTAATCAAGGAAAGGAACGTGCTTTGGAATACTGCAATTCTCTCCTTTATTTCTAAAGAAAATATTAAGGAAATCTAAAAAATCTTTTTTGTAGTTGTCAAAAGAGATTCTTCAAAACACAAAGGCAATTGAGTGTTGGTTATAGGAATTTGTTTGTTTCATTTTCATAATATTTTCATACAGCCTGAAATGTTATCCACAGTGACTTGCTTTACAATCAAATTATTAAGTGTTCATAAGGCAATCATGAAATTGCGTAGACAGACATCTTTGACAGTCCAATATGAATATTTATAAAAATGTCACAATGTATAAAAATGCTCCATTAATCATATAATTGTGGGGACAGCAAAATCGCCCAAAATAGAGTTGAGCAAGAGGGAAGGATAAAGACAAGAGCAACCCGTTTCATTTGTTGGGTTTGACAATGAACAATTACTACATTTAGATGAGAAAGAAGGAGACACCACAATAATGACTAAAATTTAAAAAAGAAAATTGACAACACAATGGCTGTCTGATTTGATACCACTCTCACCTCTGTAGCAGAAGATTGTTAGTTGGGGCTTTGAACTCACATATTCCTGTCACTCCAATGCATTTCTTTGGGTGTACTGCATTGTCGGAGACGTCGTCACAAGATCATAAGATTAGTCTGGATGAAGAAGGCTCTTCGGCTCATTCAATCTCATCCCTCCAGAACAACCACATGAGCTGGCAGTGCCTTCAACATTACTTCCCGTGAATGCACAGGACATGATGTTAGCGGTGCTGCAATCACAATGCACACAAAGTGACATTGATGGTCGCCTTATGACCTGTAATTCAAAACCATAATCTTTTACAATGGAAATGAATTGTTCTCAATTTAATGAAAACCTGACCAATACTGATTTTTCCTGATTAAAAGTGGCAAGCCTTGTCATGAGTGAGGTAGTGTTGTATTGAAGGGCATTATAATGAGGTTCTTTTGTACTTCTTTGGGATTATTCAGATGATTAGAATATGGGAGGAAAGGTACGTGCTGAAAATGAGAAACTGTTAAACATGACTTCATTATTTCTATTATTTTCATTTCAGTTAAATTTTACAAACATATATTTAACATTGAGATACAATTTACAAGATTTGGAAAAGGATTTGAAAGTCGTGAAGCCTGCGGCCTTGCATTTCTATGTCATCCCACTCATGGTTAGGAGTGAGCGGTGAACCGCAGTGAGTTAAACCTGTATCAATTTAGATGTTTTTGATGTCGAACTCCAACTGGCATAGATTTGAGTTCTGACTCCTATTAAGCCATTAAGCCAAAGAGAGAAATAGTTTGGATCTTAGCAGGAGCATGGCGTCAGTCGGCATCCAAACAGAGCTCTGGAGGCTCAGGCTTATCCAGCAACCTGCAGGATTCATTACTTACAAATCCTTTTATAAATTTCGCAAATTAGGCCGTAAAATATTTATTTGGTTTGAGCCTACCTTCCTGCATGGCCTCAACTAAATGAGTAGTGATCTTCCATAGCAGAAAAATGTAACCTGCAGCCTTGCATTTTGGTGGTACTCCTCTTATGGATAGGAGAAAAAGGCAAGCAGCAATGAGCTAATAAACTGGTATCAATTTGACAAATGACAGCCATTGTGTTGTTTTGTGTTATAAATTACCATGCGAATTAAGAAAAGCTATAAATCATTCAAAATATCAAACTGAGCATATATTGATACAACATATTTTGTAGTAGTTAATACTTGAAGGAATAGGATAAAATACATTTTAATCTTAATTTTAACCATTTTGGATTATTATCCTTATTCTCAGTTTTTCTTTTCTTCAGCGGTTTCTAAAAATAGTGCCTATCACCTTGACTAAAATAAATCATTTCTCGAAAGAACCGATGGTATGTAATTGGATTAAGTGTGCCATAGGTCCCATAAAGTATCATTATGTTTTTTCAGGCAACTTCACTAAACCTTGCATGAAGTACTTATTTTCTTTATTATTCTCTGCATACTTGAATTCTTCCCTCTCTTTTTAAAACCTGTTTTAATCCTCGGAAAATAAAATACTGAAGCTCTTCAAATCTAATCTCTAATACTGTAAAATCTCATCCATTTTTACATCATTGTGTTTAAGAGGCCCATCAATACATTATTATTTATAATGCAAATGGATTCCTGAGAATTACGTTCGCATTTCTGTGAAATGTGTTACTGATTAACTGGTAAATTGAGTATAATCTTGTTTGAGTTTCATTTCTACAGCTAATAGACAGCAGTTATTTTACAAATCCCTCTTAACATCAATTTTCATTTACAAAGGATGTACAACATAGAAATGGGCCACTTGACCCAACCAGTCCATGCTGGTATTTATACTCTACATGAGTATCCATCCATTCCTCACTCCCTCCATACGCTTCTATTCCCTTCTCTATCATGTGAAAGCCTATCTCCCTCTTAAATGGATCTACACTACCTGATTGAATCACCGTTCCACAATGTCACTACCCTCTGCATGAAGCAGTTTGCCTTAATTCTCTTTTAGATCATCTAGTCGCTATCTATACTTGTGCCCTCTGGTTACAGATTACCCAGCCAGTGGAAGCAGCCTAATTATGCCTACCTTATCGACCCCTTTTATAATTTTAAACACCTCTACTAAGTTTCCCTTAAATTTTTAATCTTTAGTGAAAAAAGACCTAACCAATGAGGTGTATCCTGATAGTAGTAACCTGCCAGCTCTGATATCATCTTAGAAAATGTACACTGTATTCTTATATATCTATATCCTTCTTATAGTATGGTAACCAGAATGAGACACAGTATTCCAAATGTGATCTAACCAGTAATATAATTGTTAATGTTGCAGTATTAACTAAGGTAGCGCAACAAAAAAAATGATTGAGACTGAATTTTCTGCATGGATATTCCATGTTTCACTCGGACTCGCCAGGCTTCGACTCCGAGAAAATCTTGAGTTGGAGCCAAAGTCTTGCAGGGCAGCATGACATACAGACAATTTCCTGGAGACAGTGCAGCTCATCACACAAGCCTTTGTTTTAAACTCTTACACTGTTAAGCACCAAAAATAGTTTGAACCACACTTATTTTCTTCCAATAGGTAAGGCAAGTGCAATCATAAGCAATGTACAACAGTGAAATAATATTGCTTGTTAGTAGATTCATGGTTTCATCATCAAATCCTTAGTTATTTGTTTCTGGTACACTACAATAAAACACAAAACCACTCAAGGATTCAACATTTTTCATTATCTGAGCTGTAAGACCATTGTCCTAAAATTTAGATGATGCAGAATTTTCTTCAAATCAATTTCAACTTAGAAGCTAGATTTTCCATAGTTCTTGAAAGGAATTTGAAGGCAATGGTTGAGACTATTTCAGTTGTCTGGTCCCTTTATAATCTTAAACCTTTAACTCACAGTCATCGTTTAGTCCCATCATTTCAATTAAGGATAAGAAGACCTCATTTTAGTTCTACATCATAACGCCTTAGGCTAAGGACTGTCTTGTAGCCCTTAGTTGTACCTTTCTACCATTATACTTTTGGACATATGGATGCAAAAACTGAGCACATTCCTCCAAGAGTAACATTTTATTTGAGGTTTTTTTTAATCCATTGACATGATTCTTTAAGTAAACTCCAGTTGTCAGTGTTATGATTCGAAAACTCATTTTGACTCGGTGGTGTGAAGCAGCACTTAAAATGTATTTTTGGAATATCAGAATTAAAACCAAGGAGGCAGAGATAGCTTTCATTGCTAGTTTGGAGAGAAAAGTTACCCCCACCCTGCAGTCCTTCACTTGACTATATCATGCCTGTCATATGATCTATTGAATAGGACATTTTTCCATGAAGCATTTCATATGAAATAACAAAAGGAAATAATATTAACTCTATAATAATTCTATATACTTTTTTTAAAAGGAGTTACCTACAGGGGTATGGGGAATGGGCAGGTAAATGGGACAGAAAGGATATCTCTGAAAAGAACCGGCACAGACATGATGGGGACTAAGTGGCCTTCTTCTGTGTCGTAAATTTCTATGGTTCTAAATTTCTCAGAGTCTAAAGACCTTTTCAGCTTAAAGTGTAAATTTAGTATTTTAAACTTTTTGAGACTGTGATTTAATACAGAATCCATTCTGTGTTGAAATTTGAAAAATACTTATTCTGGGATTTCCTTTAACTCCTGTTGATATTGTCAAAGTTGATGCTGTGAGCTCTATTTGCATTGGGATTTCATGCTAGTAATCATTACATGCAGGGTTGCAGAATTGCCTGAGAAACATATTAAACTTTGGGTAATAGCATATGTGTTTAGAACAGGTTGTGCTTGTGGCTAATTCGAAATATGTATTTAAAACAATTTACAGTTACGAATCCTCTTCATGTTGCCAGTTTAAAAATGATAGCAGTTTTACAAACAGTAGTGCTTTGTATTATAACCATTTCTGTACCTATAATTCTTAGAAAATATGTCCTGTTATTTTTTTAAAAAAGCTACTGAAACAAATCTCATATAATACACTTTTAAATGTATTTGCTGTTTGCTTAGAGTTTTTAGTGTAACCTGAGCTAATCAAACTGGAGCCATGGAGTCAATCATCTTTGACATTTTCAGATGCTTGCAGGATCACCAAAACTGCCTGAGGCTTCAAGTCACTAAAGTATAGTCTTAGATGTAAAGATGCTCTTTGGACCTGAAGTCAAGAACAAACTAAAATTCTTGAAATGAACAGGTCTGTCAGCACCTGAAAATGAAAGTTAAGGTGATGATTTAGATATACCCCTTAACCAGCATTGAACTACTGTCTTCTGCTTTCTCTTGATCTTAACATTTGGGAACTGACATCATGAAATGAGTACCTAAATTTCTCCATCCCTCTCGTCCACTGTAATATTTATCCCTCTGAGCACCTAGTCCCCACTCTGCTAATTTCATTTCTAACAACGACATCAAATGTTTTGACAATTATGTTTTCATTATGGGCACAACAACAACAGCAAAATTACATTTGGAAAAGTGCTTTCACGTCAGGAGGACATCCCAAAGCGCTGAACAGTCGAGGATCAGGATCTGAGCTTGGGGTGGGGAGCAGGGTTGGGGTGAGGGAAGGACAGAGAGGTAGGACGGCGGCTGAAGGGATGGTTGAAAAGGAGGGTCTTGAGTGGTGCGTTGAAGGAGGCAACAGAGAGAGCAAGGTGAAGGGATTGTGGGATGGAGTTCCAAAGGGTGGGGGCAGAGAGGCTGAAAGCCTGGCTGCTGATGGTAAGGCGGGTTGGGCGGGAGACATTCAGCAGGCTGGAGCCTGATGAACAGAGGGAGCGAAAAAGGTTGATAGGGAGTCAGCAGGTCAGAGATGTAGGAGTGGGCAAGGCTTTGGGTGGCCTTGAAAGTAAGGACGAGGATTTTGAACTCAATCCTCTGAGGGATGGAGAGTCAGTGGAGCCGGGCGAGAGTGGGGACGATAGGGTCACGGAGCCTGGTGCGAGAGAGGACACGAGCTGCAGAGTTCTGGATGATCTGCAGGTTGTGGAGGGAAGAGTTGGGGAGGCCGATAAGGAGGGAGTTTCTGTCGTCGAACTTTGAGGTGACGAATGCGTGTATGAGGGTTTTGGTGGCCTGAGGAGTGAGGCAGTGGCAGAGTCGGGCATTGTTGAGGAGGTGGGGGAAGGCAGAGTGGGTCATGGCATGATATGGGGAGAAAGACAGTTGAGGATCGAACAAAGATTTGAATGTGGCTGGATGAGCAATAATATGATTTCTATTTCCTATCTCTCTAAACAACATGACTACAGCATCGAGCGCAAACCATCACCAAAGTTAATAGCTGCTGGAACTCTTTCCTCTCATTGCTTCCAATCTGATTGTTTCTGTATCAAACACTTTTCACCTCTATCATCTCTAAACGATGCACTGATAGTTCTATCATGGCAGACCCATTGGCTTCCTTGTACCTGCCTATCAAACCCATTTCTAATTCAATCACTCACCCCTTGGCATATTTTGCTCACCTAAATCAGTGACTCTTTTCATGGTTCTCACCAGTTTGACAATTTCAGATTTCTTGCTACAAAAAATATTCTATTGTATGAAGATTTCAGAAGTTGGTTAATGTATACTCCTCCTCACCATGGATATCCTGTCTCTCTCCACTCCCACCCCTCAGCAGAGTGGTTTCCATGCCTTTGAATTCTTTGAACTAGCATTCTGAATCCAGTGTTTCTCTTTTTTGCTCGGCTGAACTTTATCATCACTATAAATAAACTTTAACTTCAAGTGATTCCTCCAGATTGAAGGTTTTGTCATATCTAGGGATTCCGACTTTGCAAATTTCAATTTTACACAGGCTTGGATGCTTATCTCCCTACACCCCACTCCCCACAATTCAGAGGAAAATATTCTGTATTATAACAATAAATATGCTTATGTTTTCCCATGTGACTGCATAGTTAATGTTCAAGCCAAAGTTGACATCTGCTTGGCTCCAGATATAGTTGTATTTGCCCATAACAAATCTCATGAATATGTAGCAAATATTGCAGACACTTAAGTAGGAACTGTACCAGTGTATACAAAACATACATTCTTTCTGGAAAATAAGTTGCTTCTGTCCTTACTTTTATAAAGTATCATTTGAACATAACATTCAACATTCTCAACATGTACAAAAATATCTAAATAATTACAGTTGTGAAGGGCAATGAACTAATGTTTCAGGCAATATTTTATCATGCTCCAAAAAATATTTCTTTCAAATAGTACCATGGGATCTTTAATGTCCACCTGAACAGGCAGACGGAGTGTAACATCTCATCTGAAGACGATACCTCCAACAATGGAGTACACCTCCAGCAATGCATTGGAGTCTCGGCTTAAACTATATTGAACAGGCTGTCTGCAATTAATATGCACCTGACATTTTGCACATTTGAAAACTTCCCTCTAACTCAAAATATGTTTTGGAGGTTTTATTTCTTCTTTGGTTTAAATTTGCAAATTGCATCCTTAGGTTCAGTGAGAATATAATATGTGACTGAAAGGAATTTGTCCACATGTGCTTCTTCAATGCATCTCTGTTACACTCGACCACAGGAAAACTAATCCCATTGAATAGACATTAGAAGAAATATTTTAACAGCTTTTACATTCCCTGTGCATATATATATTAAATTGAATGTAAGCCATTCAACTGGATAAGCACAAAACCATTTGAACATCTAGGTTGTCAGCATGGATAGGCTACAGATATTATCCTGACTAAAAAAAAGTATAATAACGTGAACTTTTGAATTTTAGGTAATTGGTAAAATATTGCCTGATGTGGGATTTAGCTACTAAATTGTTTACTAGCTTTTCTACACTGTTATTGTAATGAGCAATAAATATATATTACAGCACTAAGCAAATCAAGCTAGGAATTATCAAGATCGTTATTGAAATGTCACACAGGTTTGTTCAGTAAAATAAGAACCTGTTATCTCTTTAGTGTTTTCCAGGGTGCCTGACGATACAAATTCGAACAATTATCTGTGTCTTCATAGTGGTCTTAACTTACTCTGTGGCCCAGGGATGTGTGGTAAGCAAGTGCCATGATATACAATACAGTTTACATTTATATAACACCTTCCATATCTGGAGGATCTTCAATGAGGGGAGGGAAGGAACAAGTTGGATCACTCTGGGATGCAGGTCTAGAGAACAAGACCAGAATCTCTGAATGCTCACCTGTGATTTTTTTTTGGTTTTTGTCAGTTGGGTGCCGGACACATACGGAAACCCATCACCAGGCTTAAGAATATCCAAACCAAACTGAGAATTCAATGCATCTCACCTACACATGAAAATCCCAGAGATAGATTGTTGGAAAGGAATGTGCATTCTCTCTCCCTGGAGGGACATATCCTGCTTACCCAATTCCGGAAAGTATAAGGCGCAGGTTGGCAAGACCCAAGGTTTGGGGACCCCAGAGTGTGTGTTGGATTACTGCTGGACTCTAACCAGCTAAAACCACATAGCTTGCTATTGATAGCACTCTTTGGCAAGCTTTCCTGCTGCTTGTCTAGCTAGGATCACTCAGTGACTGGTTTGCCACTCCAAGTCTTGCCGACGAGCCAGGCTTGTACTGTCATTATCAGTGACCTGGAGGAGAACTCACTTACCTTCCCCCACTCCCCGAAAGAGGATAGTCACAAGTTCATTATTTGACATCCGACAAGCGCAGGTTTGAACCTTCACTAGATGGTAGGTATCAGGAACTCCCTGTGAGCTTCCCAGTGGGCCACACTGCTCAGCATGAAATGTGTGAGAGCATTACCACCATCTTCCTGTCTGGAGCTCAGGCACACGTCCCTTCCCCTTGAGCGACGGTCCAACCAATTGAAAGTGTGCAGTTTAAGCAGCAGCTACTTGCCTCTCTGCAAACCAATCAAGGTGGATTCCAGGAACTGTGTATACAAATGTATTTCCACAAACTGGGACTCTAGGTAATGCCTTGCAGCAGCTATTGCCCCAAGCCTCAGAGATTCCTCATCAGCTATCTGGCAGACATCTGCCTTCATCCTGATGGGCGAACCTTTACAGGACAGCTTGTGACATGCTAGTAACTTTGATGTTCTCGAGATACAATCCAGTTCCGCGTACCAGGCTTACTCAGCACTAGCTGCTTAATCCAAGTCCTCATGCGAGGGGCTTTGGCAAATAGGTATGGTTGCTGTGAAGCAAACTAGCCTGTGAATGGTAAGGAGGATAGGACAGGGGATATAAGCAGGCCAATGTTCATTGAGTGAAGGGAACAATTGGGTTGATAGGGTTATAGAAGGTCACAGAAATAGGTTATACTAAATATATTGCAGAAAGGAATGCTAATGCTTATTATTGTGTCTTGTACAGGTCGGCTGTATGCCTTGGATATGGACTAACAACTCCAGCAGTTCTATTGTTATCATTGACCCGGATGGCGTAAATAAAACAATGCCTGAAAAGCCCTGTGAAACTGCCCATTACTCTTTTCTCGCTTGTGTTGTTGGAACACTAAGTCTCGCAATATTCTTGCGCATATCTTCATTGCCAAAAATGATTCTGCTCCTCCTTGTCACAATATTATACATAACTGTTCTTGAGATTAGCGGATACAGAAGAGCAGTGGGGTAAGTGTCACCATATTCTGGTGTCAAAGCTCAACATGCAAATAATAGTTTGCTTGGGTGAAGTTCCAGAATCATAGAAATATAGAAACATACAATGCACTTTGGCACATTTTTTTTATTGGTATTTGGTCTTCCATCCATCATAATCCCAAGCCAATTGGTGTCTATGAAACTATACTGAAGAAGAATGAGATATAAATCAAAATCTCTTCTCTTCACTCTCGTGTATTCTCAAACTTCAGATAAAAGTGGAACTTGTCTTCTGTCTAATTAATATGGTTTTATATAATGGGCAGTTACATTAATTAAACTGTAAGAGAAACAAAAGCACAATTCACGATAGCACTCTGTAGTTTAAACAGTTGCTCATAATAGTGGAGTCCCATAGCTCAGTGGTTAGAGCACTCGCCTCGCAAGTGAGAGACTTGGGTTTGATTCCCAGCAGGGTGAAACTTTGGGCAAGTTTCCTTACTCCACACGCCTGATAATAATCCTTCAAGAAAAAAAACAATAATAAATTGGTCACTTCAATCCACGACTGTTTGTGGGACACTGCTGTGCGCAATTGGCTGCCGCGTTTCGCCTACAAGTATACACTCAATTCACTTTACAGTATATTCTGTGAAGCGCTTTGGATGTCTAGAAGATGTGAAAAACGCTATATCAAATGCAAGGATTATTATTTTAATGTCAATTTATAGTGTTTAAATAAGGTATAATCTGTAAAACTAATACGATTTTGCTTTCTCTAATGCAAAACAAAATACATTTCTAGATATAAGTATACTCGACATATTAGCTCATTATTTTAAGTATAATGTGCTAAACTTTCACCGTATCTTATCCTGTAAGAATATTTTGTGATAAAATCTACGATTGCACAGAATTGTAAAAATTCTTAAATTCATTCTTAATTTGGAAGCCATTTTTTCACAGTTATTAAAAAGAACTGGCTTTTAACTGTGTAATCTTACAAGATTATGTACTTGTTTGGGCTTATTGATTGCATGTTGATTTTTTGAACATACTGAAATACATTAATCATTTGTACACAAGTTTGGTTAACAGTAAAAAACTAAATGATGTTCTTTCTGTGCTCTTCTCTGAAGGGGTGGCTCATTTTACATACGAGGATACGAACCGATTTTGGCAATCTTACTCTTCACTTGTGCACTGGCCCTTCATTCCAGACAGCTGGACCTGAAGTTACGATTAGACTACCTCTGGGCTGCGCAGGTAGGCTGTAAACATTTGCACATGTTTTAATTTGACAGAATAAGATTAACAAAGACAAAGATGAACAATAATTTTTGAGCTGCTGAAGTGTAGATTTCAAAGTTGGCAATGTGGGAATGGGTGAATGTTATACTGGATGTTTGTACTGGATTGATTTTAAGGAGCTTCTCAGCCTCCACCGACACAGTGCGGACATGGCGCTGGACGGTCAGGGATTTTGACCCGAGAAGGTTTGGGATTGGGGAGGATAGGAGGGCAGGGCGCGTAGGACTAGGATAGTGCCCGAAGGTGAGGTCGAAGAGAAGGGTCTTGAGACCTGCCTTGAAGGAGGCAAGGAAGGGATTGAGGCAAAGGGACTGTGGGATGGAGTTCCAAAGGGTGGCAGTAGAGAGGCTGAAACATTGCAATTGTTTGAATTGTTGTTACTGTTATTACCCTTGTAAACAGCAGAACCAGCAAAAAAAATCTCTATAATGGTTTAATGGAATTACAGTTACTAATTAAGAATTTTTATTCCTGTACTGACTGTTTGTGCTAAGTGACTTTATACAGGATGCAGTGATGATGATCCGTATTATTGCCCACATTACCAGATGCTGTGAATTTAGACTACTTCCTCAACTATCGGCATTTATTAACTATTGCAAGTCCTTTGCAAAGTGACGCCAATGCACAACACATGAGTTAGTGGTGACCCGATGACACAGAAATTGTCTATTTCTTTAGCACGGGAAGCCAGCTAGTCAGAATCAGAAGCAGGCTGGTTTGTACGGGTTCAGATTAAACCCACACTCGAAGCAAAGCAGCATTATACTATAACAGGTTGTTCCAGTAATTCATAAAATATTTTATTTTTGTATCTGTAAATTATTTTGGAACTTTGAGCTCACAGTCTAGAATGACACTCCATTGCAGTGCCCTGGGCAAAATCACCCAGTTAAAATAAATTACTTATTTCATGGCTCTTTATGGAACATTGTTGTGTGCAAAATGTTGCTACATATCACAGTAAAATGTTGTGAAGCGCTTTGAGATGTCCAAATGACACAATAAGGTGTTGTATCAAATGCAAGGATTATTATTAATATTTCTAGTTTAACACAAATTTCAATTAAATTTGAGGTACTTCTTAACAGATTTCTTCATCTGAATTAATTCAGAAGGCATCTGGTGAAGTAGCATTCAGCTGCTGCTTCAAGACTTAAAATCATACTTTTGATTGACTCCCAAAATAAAGCTGAGGTTGTCATTCTTCTTAATAGACACGAAGAGGACGTGGGAATGTGGAAGTGGGGGTTAATGAATTGTGATAGTTCAGGATAGAGTGTAAATGTGTAGCATTTCATAATGCTTTCAGTAAAATAATTATTACATTGAACGTATTATGAAACACACAGTTTCACCCTAAGTCTCAGAAATTTAATATTTTTGATAGAGGCCGCACTCCCGGATTTCAGATTTCTTCCTCTATCCTCGGCGAAAGCAACAACAACAACCAGATTACATTTGTATAGCGCATTTCACGTCGGGAGGACGTCCCAAGGCGTTCATAATATATCAATTGCATGACCGTAGCCTATTTTGTAAGGACGTAGACTCATTAGATAAAGACAGAATGAGAGGCACATAGAGAATAAACCACAGAATGTCATGATAAGGATGAAGAAGGGCACATAAATGGGAAATGATGGATAAAAAGTCCCGCAGCTTAGTGGTTAGAGCACTTGCCTCTCTAACGAGAGGATTTGGGTTTGATTCCCAGGCAGGACAAAATGCCAGGTTTCCTTACTCCACACAACTTTGTTTACCGAGCAGTAAGTAGGTACCTGGTTGTTAGTCGATTGGCACATCACTTTTCCAGGGGTAATAATTCCTTCGAAAAAAATAATAATAATTTGGTCTCTCAGTCCATCACTGTTTATAGGACACAGCTATGAGAATTGACTGCCCTGTTTCGGCCACAAAATGTACAATCAATATACTTTAAAGTGTATTCTGTGAAGAGTTTTGAGATGTGTTGAAGACGTGATAAGGCGCTATATCAAATGCAAGGATTATTATTTATTATTATAAAAAGGTTCAAAGAGACATAGAGATGAACAGGAGACAGACTCATTTGCAAAAATGAATTATATTGATACTTCCTGCCAAGCATTCACTGCTACACACATTTGTTCCTATATAAAACTTCTTTCTGCTTGATGGACTACTTCACAAGTATACGATTTACGAGTGGTGTACACAAGACTGGGTATGAATTTGATTATAATATATAGGTATAGCTTTTGTGTAGTTTCATAAAGTTGAAAATAAAACTGTAGAGGCAATGAGTTGTGCAGTGGTATCATTTGTTCATCTAATTTGGTACTTCCAGCTCAGGATCGGAGATACAAATATCCAGCCCGGACTGAAGGGATAAAAGTCTCCATTCTTATACTGTGTGAAATATGTTGAAAGCAATCACCACAGTGGAGAAGTGGAAATACAATACAATTTATACTTAAATACTGCCCCTCAAGTGGGAAGGACGTCCCAAACTGTTTGACAATTCTAGCTGGGCACTGGAACTGAGGGTAAAATGATGCATGTATGCCACAAGTGAGAGACTCAATAGGGTGTACCCATGCAACCATCAGGAGTATTTATCATCAGGGATGGATTAAGAGGGTTTTGCAGTTCATCATCTACCAAATTATTATGCTTGCACAAAAATGCACAAAAAATCAAATAATACATTTCTTAATTAAATTATTCCATCCAAAGCAATTGTTCAAGATAGAATGTGTTTGACTATTTCCTGAGATGCCTTGATTCAGTTTTGCCAACACCACAACTTTCGCAGTGGTTCCAGGTAGCGTGCGATTGCCATGAAGACTGTGAATGATACCATTTGGGGAGGGGAGTTATTTATATTAAAAAAATTAAGAATAAAAGCACAGGATCTACTGTTCGATTGTATTTTATATAAAGATGATGATGTGCTCCCTGTGGCTTGAATGAAATTGGTTTCTAATTTGACAGGGAACTAAAGTGCGACGATTTGAATTGGAACATCAGTGGACGGATAAGCACATCTTAAATTGGAATTGAGCTACTTGATGGAATATAAAAGACTCGTGTTTGCTTTCATTTTAATGAAATGTTATTCAGAACACTAAGTGGCTGCCTACTATTTTTTACCAAGTGGTTTGTTTTCTATTTGTGTCTTGTTTCACCGGGTGCTAAATGGGAGTTCAGAGAACACTGCAGTACTGGGCCAAAGCTGTGGGAGTTGAAGCACTCTAATTTTTGGTGGTACAAATATAGTAAAACAAAACTGGTGATTTCTTTGCAAATAATGGAGACCTTTAAATATCGGTGGACATTTGAGAGGAAAATTAGGATTATTTATTTAAAAGTACATTTTAGTCAATAATTACTTCAATTATACTCCAGTGTGTGCTATATATTCTTATGCCATTTGTGTGTTTTTTATCAATAAAAAGTCTTAGGAGAAGATACATGGTGTATAATGTATAGTTTTGTATTGCGATGCAATACAAATCAAATAGATTTACAGATTCTATTGCTGTGCTATATAATGTTATTACCCTCAGCTACAAATCCCTCTCATGAGCGTCCTTTACCATTCCTGCCTGTTTCTTTTGTTTTTTTTCACAATAAATAACTGAACCTGGCAACAATGATTTATGTTAGGTGGTGTAATATTGAGCTGAAGCAAGGTTTAAAACAAATTGCTTATAAAAGCACAGTCACTGCACTTCACAGTAAAATCCTGTGAAGCATTTTGAGACGTCTCAATTACATGATAAGGCACTGTATTAAGTGAAAGGATTATTATTATCTCTCTATGCCCTTACTGCTCACCAAGTCTGTGTTCTTCTCCACCCTCTGAAAATCCCTCCCTCCACCCCTGTAGCTTGCCTCCTCTCTATTTGTCTTTTATAGCCACTTAGAAATGTACATTTTCATCTATGCTTATTGGACAGTTTGCCGATGGGGTTGGCGATGGGGGGTGGGGGGCAGGGGAGGCACAGAGTTCATTGAATTAGAGATTAAATGGTGCACTCTGTGGCACGTCCTTTCCCATATATGAAGCGGGTGGGGACAAAGCGCTGCAATTGAGCCACTTTGGCTTGGTGAGGAAAGTTCAAGCAACAATTTAGTTCAAAGTTAGTTTATTAGTGTTACTGGAGCTTTCCTCTCACTCTCCATGTTCTCAGCAAGCCAAAGTTCTTCAGTGTAAATCAACATTCAGCTGGTTGTTTGCAGTAAATCAATAAATTGTGTAATTTCTTACACTGGCAGTGTCTGTGATTGAAACTCTTGTATGTGATAAAAGGTTCTGATTCTCCATAAATTTTCCCATCATGTCAAAACAGAAGCAACAATAATAAGGCAAAAGGGATCCAGGGGCTATATTGCCAAATTGGTGGCATTCAGATCTCCAGATGTCCATACTCAATCTGTACAGTGCTCTGGTTAGGCTGTTCGACCCTGAGCTGTTCTTTCTCCCTCATATCCGCGCCACAACTGGCACTGCCTTCCATCACCTCCGGAATATCGCCAGACTACGGCACTACCTCACCGCTCACGCTGCTGAAACTCTGGTCCACGCTTTTATCACCTCAAGGCTGGACTATGGGAACTCTCTCCTCGCCGGCCTTCCCGGCACCTCCCTCCACAAGCTGCAGGTCATTCGGAACTCTGCAACTCGTGTACTGTCCCGCACCAGGCTTCGCAACCACATCACTCCCATCCTCGCTCGCCTCCACTGGCTCCCCATCCCCCAGAGGATCGAATTCAAGATCCTCATCCTCACCTACAAGGCCATTCATGGCCTTGCCCCCTCCTACCACTCCGACCTACTATTCCCCTACCTACCTGCCCGTACCCTCCGTTCCTCTGGCTCCGGTCTGCTCCACATCCCCCGCCCCAACCGCCCTACCATCGGTGGTCGGGCCTTCAGCCTCTCAGCCCCGAGGCTCTGGAACTCTATC